CCCGCTTCGTTGATTTTGACTAACCGTAGACATGCTGTATTTCTCTCTATCTTCTTTGCGAATTTACTCGCCGGTAATGTGCAGAAGTGATTCTCCCGCAAACACATAATTATTATCTCCTAAAAGGTAGGATAATACCTCTGTATGTATTCAAAAAAGAAGTCATGCTGAGCCATGAAACGTCAACGAATGGTGAGATTGAGCATACCAAGCTTCTGCATCGCAATCATTATCCACCCACCTTATAAGCTTGTTAGGTCAAGATGTGTGCTCTGGGTACTTCGTAATTGCAATGGCTTTGGTTTTCTACTCTCTGTAATATTTTGTGGTTACGGAGGAAGAATGTCTTCAAGGGAAAGAAATTGGGACTCTCAGGAAGGATCTGTCATGAACATTTGTCGCATTGCAATCTAGGGACTTTGGATGGCTTGAAACAGCGAGAAATTCATAAATTTTATCTCTACAATATCGCACTCACAGGTATTCTGGGAAAAATCTATACGGATAAGGAAATGGAATCTACACCTAAATTTAACCACATTTAGAACTGAAACTCTAGTCCTGCACTTTATTTCGGACACCTTGTACTGACACAATAGACGCTCAGCTCCACAGCACGCTTCCCCACCCTTCCCTATGTGTTCCGTAGTAGCATACACTTTTGGGTTTGAAATTTCTACCACTGCACAATGACGGGAAATTTGATGCTTGCTTTCTACCTCAATCACGACACTCTTTCCCATGCGACAGACGAATTTGAAGTTTTTAAGATTCTGGGTCTCAAACGCTTTGGGTAAATCAGCTTCTCCCATGGCACTACTGTATTTATGTGAAGCAAATGCATGAATGAATGAGATTTGGTCGAGTTGTTGTGAAGTAGTCTGCAAAGTTGGTTGTGTACTCGAGAAATTGCGGTTTGTACATGGAAATTTGACTTCTAAGCCTCACCATCTACACAGCTTTTTATCAAACCAAAGTGATATTGTTCGACAGATGTATATTACTCGCAAATCTAGCCTTAGAAGTAATTTAGTTTAGCTTACTTAAGCCGGTTTCCACCCACTTTCTTAGAGGAGGACTGTGGCCGCGGTTCAGGCACAATGTTGATCATGCATGCCCCCAGCCACAATAATTTTCTTGACCAATCCAACTGCTGCTCATAAGCCTAATGAATGTT